AGAGCGTCGAATATTCTTCATCTTTTGCTAACGGCCGGAGTAAACATTCCATTCATTCTCATACTGTTCATATAACTTTCCCACAATTACGCTATAGTACTTATGCAGATTGCAGACAAGAAAATAAATAAAAGTAATTAAGTAAATCGTTACATCAAAAAATGGGCGAAGAAAAATAGAGCACGCTTCCTTGAATAGCCACTAGATTCCAAACTCGCTTTCACTTTTCACTTGCAAACGAAGACACTTTCTGAGGGTATTTGTCTCAATTAAGTGTCTCTTTCTGAATACTAAAAGTCCAAAAGTGTGGATTTCTATAATATTTAACCAACCGTCCAACATTAGATCAAACCACTCACTCACGTCAATTACTTTCAGGCCTTATTATGCAAACTTGAACCCAACTTTACCGACACAAGCCACAAAGCAATTAAAACCAGTGTTCAAAATGTTCGTGTTACAACCTCCATTAACTAACAATTTTATCCACTTAAACAAACTTTCCGTCACATTGAGTAGTGTTTAGCACGAGCACTTCAATCTACACATAACCTCATAATTATTATATCGACACAGAATAAAACAAACATTGAATTAATTAATAATATATATAGATCATATAGATATTCTGCATCAAATATATGCATCATCTCTTACAACTTTGACTTCCAACTTCCAACTAAAGTACATAACTAGTAATAAATTTAACAAGTGCTACATTTTGGCCATCCATAAAAAGAGGCACATACATATATATGTAGCTTGTACAAGCACTTAAAAATTATTGGAAAAAAAAACAACTAGTTATATCAAATGCCCTACCTGCCATATGGAAAGGTACAGCCTCAAACTGCACTCTCACACTCATCAGGCTCTTTCAGCACACCCTAGAATGAAGTACACTCTCTCTTAAAACACTCTTTGAATAAAAAAAAATGTTCATAACACTCACTTATTTATTGATTAAGTAGGCTCCTAATGATTCCAGCCTCAGCACTATCTGCATCAATTGTGGTCAACAACTGAGCCAGACGCTCACTCAGGTCATTCACCTCTCTGTGCAAGCTTCTGATGTAGTTGCAGGTCTCTTGTAGGACCTTGGACGCTGAAACCTGCATTGGAAAAAAGTCAGTAACGATTACCTACGAGTCACTTTCTGCAACTATTACACATGCCTTACTTTGCATGGAACTGGTGGCGTTGAATTAGCAGAAATAAGCATATAGAGTCCAACACATGGTATGTGACCCAATTATTGTGAGTATGTATATGTACTCCAACGACGATATTTAGGTGTAGTAATCTATTTCAGTCCACACCGAAAGATTCGCTTCATGCATGAGTTGGTCAAAATAACCACTTGACTACTTTCTTTATTTTTAAGGTCTTGTTTCTATTCGGGGGTTCTGCATTACTTATATATATGTGTCCATACTTCCTGACTTTCTATTAGCGTTTTTTTTTTGTTTTTTAATAAAATGAGAGAATAAGGATAATTAATTTATAACGTAGCACTACTTCAAATGTAAACTGGAATTGGTGAATATTGTGCAATTACAGTATATCAGTATCAGTAAAATGTGTATACTCGTCATTGTTATATATAATGTTATCTTTAACTTTGTAAATATACATTTATATATTTATACAGTCAATGCAAACGTTTAAAGTCTTTTGCATCTGTATAGATTTTGGAATTGTTTGGAACTTGGTCCTCAATATACGGGTCAAATTCTGACTATCCCCGGACTTCGCGTTTAATTTATTATAATACAATCGACATGTTCTACACGAGCCATGCCACTATGATCGGTAGCATAATCCTACTCTATCACTTCACATGTACAACAACAAAGAAGCAAGTTGTTTCTGTGTTTGTATAACAGAGATCTATATATCTTTATATCAGCATGCGTGAAGTTGAAACTATATGTTTTATGCTTGCCATATAGCTTCAGCCTAGTTTTTTCTGATGTGATTTTTTACTTTTGCGGAGAAGTTAGTAATTTTAGCTTCCACGTCATCCCCAACTTCACTATTTATTTCCCAACCAATTTTCAAACAATACAAAACTGACATGCAGTTATTATTATTTTTCAATCAGAACTAAAGATTTATCTGGGTAAAAAAATTCATTAAATATCAATAAATATTACCGAGTTAAAACATCAAATCGAGTTGAAAAATAGTCCCGACAATACATAAAATAGTATTGTAATTTTTGTCCTTATAGATATCCATAATTATGATAAGGCCGGAGATTGAATTTTGAAATATTGTACCTTGTCAGATCTCCTACTGCGAATCTCAGGAACGAGTTGACGCAATTTGGAAACAAGCTCGATGATTTGGTCATCGGAGATCCTTGTAGACCCTGAGTGTTGCCTGGATCTTCGGCTAGACATGTCCCTAGCTAGCTAGAGCTTGGTGTACTTGTCTATATATGTATATATTTTCTCAAAGTGCGGGCTAAGGTAGCCTAGTGCTGCTATTATGACAGGTATATATGTGTATGATAAGTTGTATTAGTAATATATATAGAAGAAGAAGGAAGCAAAAGAGGAAAGAAAGAAAGAATTAAAGGGTTTGGGTTGGGAAGTAGCAAATAAAACACATGGTGTTAGTGGATGAAGGGGGGAGGGAATATATAGGGGAGTAGGAGGAAGAAGGGAAGAGTGTTGGATACGAGGCAGGTATGGAGAGAGTGATAAGGGAGAGATATAATTAAGGTAAGGGAAAGGACCACGAGGACAGGAGAGAGATAGAGAGAGTACAATAACGTAGACAGCTATGTTGGATGTCAAGAAAACATTGATTTGCCCATTTGCATCGGGAAAGCAATGGAGTACTACCATACTAGGCTTACTGGTTAGTCTTTGAAATTTAGATAAGAGAATTTGTTAATTAAATTAACACTCCTTATCAATTGTCACATCCTTAAACTCTCACTATTTTCTCCTCTAACTTTTACGCATTAATCCTTAATTTCTCTTATTTTAAACTTTGGTTGGTTAAGCTTTGTGTTTACATTTACTTTATATAAATTAATTTAGATTAAAACATCAGTTTGATGGCGAAATCATGAATTAGATTAGCAATCTCGAGATATAATTGAATAGAGAAAATTGTAACAAAGACTACGACAAGAGAGGATTCTAATAGTGATTACTTGTAAGGATTTTGACACTTAGTGAATGTAAAACATGAAGATTATATTCATATATTAAAATGTTGAGCTTAACTTAAATAATAAGATGATTGATTAGTTAATTAATCGAATTTGTACAAGTGCAATTTGTGTAGCATAAGTTGAAATATATGTGTCAAATATTGTGTTAGAGTGGACTTACAACTTAAATCTAGGTAAAGTCATATGTGAAGATCAACCTTTCTCGATATTAATATGTTGATATGATTTAGAGTTTAGGGTTCTAGTGGTGATTACTTGTAAGGACTCTAACACTTCGGTAAATGTAAAATATGAAGATTAGATTCATATCAATACTTTTATAACAATTATAAAAATATAATTATAATAAAAAATAATTTTTAATAATAAATATAGTGTCACTATAAGATATAAGATGTATGTTATTATAAGATAATTTTTTTTTAAAAAATAGACGACAAATAACCATCTCTTTTGAATATTTGACCAGGATTTAGTCGTATAATCATGTATATGAAAAAATATTTATAAGAATAAAACAAATGCATATCTTTTGTACAAATATCAATATTTTGAAAGATTAGTGCTTAACCTTTTACGCAAAAATATTCCAAATTTAAACATACAGTTATTTGTGGCATTATCTAATAATTTCAATTAAAATTTTATCTCAATAATTAATGTTAACCTTTAATACAATTTATCAGAATATCTATGTTTACGTTTAATATAAACTTTTATCTAGCTACATAGATTATAAAACTAAAAATTTAATGCTAATTATATATATATATATATGTATATTAATTATAGATAATCATAGTATAACTACGAAATATTTATGACTAGAAATAATAGTGATTAATCTTTGTTAGAATAGTAATTACATACAAGTGTATTTTTCTTCCAACATTATTTATTTGATATTCTATATAAAAGATTTGAATCGTGTACAATAACAAATATATTTAAAGAACTACATCTAAATTTGTTCTTAAATTTATATTTAATTTAAAATTTTATTTTATAATAACCTCTTATATTTATTATTATTTTTTCGTGTTTCTTTAATTTCTTTAATCAACTCAGGTTCAATAACAAATCTGGGCTCTACTCTGCTGGTAATTTTGAAAATTTTATTGAACAAATTAAAACCTAGCTACACCCATCTTTGAAAAGGACAAAATAACCTGTTCAATTAGTGCATTCTCTTCCCTGACTTCTTAATATAATAAACACTTGACATTTAAAAACAATTTATCAATAAAAACTAATAATGTTACTCTTTTAGAAAAGCAAGCATGTCGTTTTTTTTAGCAAAACATAAGGAGACTTGAATTCTTTCTAATCAATTGGAGTATCCAACAAGAGAAGAAAAGAGACATGGAACAAGGAAAATTCACTCATGATGGTATAATTGTAAAAGAAAATCTTAAAACATTTCAGAGAACGTACGAGTAGTTTTAATTTCAATTATTAGCATTCCAACTTGAAAAACAAAATATGTATGGACCCTAAAAAAAACTTGAAAAACAACAAGCTGGAACTATAACGACAGTTCGAGCACATCCTAGTAATTTATATTCCACTTTTTTTAAAAAAATAAAAATAAAAACAGTGTATATTTTCCCCCGGCTAGCTAGCAATGGCATTTATACACATGTTAAGATTGAAAATTGTTGATTTGAGGTATTTGGAAGTTTTGTAAATATAGAGAGAGAACGTAGGTTTCACTTCCGTGCGTGCCCCCAAATTGGGGTTGAATCTCAAGTGTGATTATAAGGGTGTGTTTGCTTTTAAGTAAACAAAGTGGACCTTCATGTATATGTCTCTATAAGCAGGATCATGTGATTATGGAAAACTGAGGCTCCTCATTCAGGGGCTAGCAGCTAGCTATATCAAAATTTCTCCGCAAATCACAGAATTTCATGTGATTGTACTTGAAAACACTGCTGCCCACAACATTCAGGGATTTACTAACTTCAATATTTCATTCATTCGACCATGTTTACCTTATTATCAATAATAAATTAATTTATAATTTAATTCAACCTTACAAATTTTGTTTTAAAACAGACATTGTTTCTCATTTATATACATTAATTTAATTAATTACTAGTCATAAGAGATTTTTAAGACATTTCTCACGTTAAGGATAAGACATCTAAATCTTATAAAATTGGATTATTGGACATATTGAATGTGAATGATATATTGGAGCTTAGTTTAACTTTAGAAGATCAACTTATATGATAAAAATTGTTTCTCACTTATATACATTAATTTAATCGTATCACTACTCAAAGTATGATCTCCAACATTTACTTGCATAATACTATCAATTCGATTAGAATAGAGTATTGCTATATCATCTTACATTTCCTCCTACAATTATCATATTACCTGACCTTGGTAGGTCTTTGCCTTCCCCACGCTGGGCGCGGGTTAGGCCACGCCGAGCGCGTGAGACTCCTTGGAGTCTCAGCCTGGTATGCGCTGGGTGCAATCTGAATTGCGCCAGGCGCGTGAGAGCCTTGGGCTCTCTGGCTGAGGCACGCCAGGCGCGGGAACTCTTGCACCGGGCGCGTTGGCCCCTGGTGCTCTCTGGTTGAGCCGCGTTGGGCGCGACCATGGGTGCGCCGGGCGCATAGGAGGATGTTGACTTGATGTGCTATTAGCTGTTAAACTTTGCTGAAATTGCTGAGAGAGGTTGTTTTATGCTGAGCTGAGCTGTAGTTGTTAAATATTGCTGTGCTAACTAGTTGATAACGCTGAATTATGCTGTTATGCTGAAACTGACGAATATGTCGTGCTGTTAGATGTTATTGCTGATTAAGGATGTTTAGGCTGTGCTGTAAGTAGTTTAGCCGAGCCGTAAGTTGCTAATTGCTGTATGCTGATATTGCTGTGCTGTAAGTTGTTTAGCTGTGCTGGATGCTGATATTGTTGTGTTGAGCTAGGCTGTTATTGATGATTTTTAAATGCTAAAATTATATTATTGTTGTGCTCTAGAATGATGAGTTGAGTTGTGAGTGGTAAGCTGTGTTGAATACTACTTAGCCGTGCTGTATGCTGATTTGTTGTGCTGTGCTGTGAGCTGTTTGGTTGTGTTGTGTTAGCTGAGTTGTATGCTGTGTATGACCACTATTGTGGTGCTGTTCTAGCCGCTATGTCGGGGCTGTTATAGTCACTATTGTGGTGCTGTTATAGCCGCTATGTCGGTTC